CATGTTCAAACAGCAAGTGGAGTCAAGCTAGAGTATTTTTAAATGCTTTAGGCAGAGTGTTTGTGGTAGACCTTCTCAGAGACCCTAATTGCAAGGCAGGGAGAACATAAATCATCAGCTTCTTGGAAATTATATTCAGAGCCTGTAATTTCGTCAGCATCACAATTTTAGTTCTTCAAATATCTCTGTTTTGGTGTGTACCAATGTAGTATGCCATAGAAGGGAAGCTGTTTATGGATTCTCTGCTCGGATTCCAATAAGTTAGGGGCTTTTCCTTTTGCTGTGAAAAGCAGCTGAACTGAGTGATTCTAGGCAGCAACGGAACATAATTCTTTCTCTTGCATAAGCAGCTTTTAGTCATTGATGTTGTCTTTAGCAGTGAGGCACAACTGCAATAAATACTCTGTGGCATTTCTCTGCCTTCCCCTCAGTGTTTCTACAGATTTCTGCTCATTGTGAACCCAGTAGTGCAGTACTGAGAGAGGAGGACCTTGAGCAGGCCCTTGGACTGTCAACTGTTGTATATAGAGACTTTGAACTCCAAATTCACTTTCTGTTAACAGGGGACATATATCTAACTGCGAGATTCACAGTATTGCCAACCTGTCATCTTCTTCTCAGGCCAGCCACCTTAACCAAGAAGCATCCTCTCTGGTCTAGTGTAGATATTGCCCTTGGACCACAGCCCCTGGCTATTACGATTGCCAGTCAGGGCCACTGTATACAGGAAACTAATTAGTTTACCCTGCTGAGTGCAGAGCAAGATATGCCTCATTTAGAGAAACACTTGGTTTCCTCGCAGGCTACCCATAAATGCCCTGCCTTGCCCAGAGCTCTGAGAGGCAGCGTGCAAGCAGCACAGGAGGTGTTGGAGCACAGAGTCTCGGTCCTGCTGAGGGCTCTCTAGAAGCAGTGTGGGTCAGTGAGGCAATACTGGTTGCACACTGGCACATAGTCTGCCCTGGGCTTCAGTTCTGGACCACTGCTGTGGAGTCATCAGAGGACAGAGTTAGGGGGAAGGTCTGTCACACTTTCAGGGCTCCACACAGAAGCCAGTTTTCTCTTGAGCAATATGGTTTTGTAGAATAAACACAGCATTGCCTGTAAGGCTTTATTTTTCCACTGTGGTTTAATTTCATGCATTTATGACATGCTGAGGAACCTCATCTTGGTCTTGATCAAAATACTGACTTCCAGGCCATGTCCAGCATACCTGTGCAAACCAGGATCAGATCAGAAGAGAATGTACCCATTTCAGACTAGCAGGTCAGAACAAGAGTTATTGTCAGGACATTATCTTGTTGGGATGTGAATGGAAAACAGTCCTGTTTCTGCCAAAGACTAAAATGTTCCCTTTCCTGAATGAGAGCATGAGCAGGCTTGATCTGTCATTTAACTTGCAGCAAAATTGAAGTGCCTATATGTATATCCCTACCACACCTCCACCCTCACACAAGATGTCCATAACATTCAGAACATGAAGACCTTCCTGGTGAGTCGTGTTGATAGTGTTGTCTCTGTTGCAGGCAGCTGCATCATGCAATTCCTTTCATCAAGTGCCATCATAAAAGTTTCCCATTTTCTTGTTGTAGCTCTGTTCCCTTGGGAAGGCAGTTCCAGAGTCTCCCTGCTCTGATACTTAAAAATTTCCCTCCAGATTCCAGCTTAAAATAATTCACAGTCAGTTTACATTCTTTGTTTGCTAGCCAAAGTTTTTCTTTCGCCTAAAGAGTTCCTGTCCTTATCTGGTACTCTCCTTCTTCTGTTTACAGTCGGATTTCTCAAAAGAAACAAAGCTTCTGCAGTCACACTGGCTGGCAGTGTCAGCCCTCCTCAGCAGCTTTGGAACTTGATGGCCAATTTGAACCAGTGCTGGCAAGGGAGCAGTAGTGAGAAACACAGGCAGTCCCTCCACGCTGAGTGATAGTTGTTGACTAGGTACAAAATGGAAACTCAGCATAACACTGTCATTGAGGTAAAGGCAGTGATAACTCAGCCCTTCTCCACAGAGACAAACACTTGGCTGGTTGTGTATTAGCTTCTGTTTGCCCAGTCAGGCAGACCTGGGAGAAAGCTTGGGAGATACTGCTGGCAAGAGGGGATAGGCCTTGCTGAATTATATAGGATTGAGGAATTAAGCAGTTTAAAAGCCTAATCTACAGGAAGCAAGGCTCCATTCATTTGTAGAACACTTAGAGGGCAGTCATTATTTAAATATGTGCAGGAATATTGATATATTCCAGGAAAGGGAGAAACAGATCATCAGGGAAAACCTGGATCAATGCAGTTCCCCCTTGTGCCAGATGACCAGCACAACACATCCACATCACTCAGCTCACTTCAGCCCTCAGCATAGGACATAAATGATACACAGGTCTCCCGCTTGCCCCGCTGCACAGGGGTATGTTTCACCCACTGAGAGGATAATTGCCATGATTTGTCCTTCACATATCTGCTAGCCAGGTCCATGGGCCACGAGACTCATAAACTGTCAGACTCCTGGGTGCAAATCAACCTTTAGGCACTTGATCAAAGACACCCTCTCAACTTTTCACCTTGCTTTGGTTCCATTTTAAGCTACAGGCCCCCAGTCCACAGTGCTGAGGTCTTGTCATGACCCTAAATCAGCATTTTCATAGCAAATGCATCCCTGTGGCCATGGCTAAGAGGTGCTGCTGATCCATCACTGAAAGAGATGTGCTCAGAAAGTGCTGGGAATGCTCTCTGTTTTGCCCAGTTGTGTCTGGCCTGAAGCTCTCTGGGAGCCAGATCTGACTGCACATCAGATGTGTGTTTCTGTAACTGATGTGACATCCGTCTTGTATAGTGATGGGATACATTTTTAAACAGTATATTGAGAAAAAGCACAGGCATAAAACTCCAAAGGCATTTGCTTTCATGTTTCACTGTACATTGGTTTACTTGGATGGATTAAGCAAATCGGAGGGAAAAGACAGAAGTCAGTTTGCCTCCTGAAAGAGACCTACCAGTTGTGGGGTTTGCTGGTGCTGTCATCACCATTACTGCTGAGCAGGCCATCACCAGTTAAAGCAAGTTTTTGCTTTAAACTAAAAAGTTTAGGTTAAAAAAAAACCTTAACATCCTAATGGTTTGATTTAGTGGTTATGTTGTATGTACGAAGGGGGACTCATGAAAGAGCTTGCTGTGAAGCAGTTCTTCACATTAGCTGCAGAGTGTGACCCTCTGAACATTTCATCTCAGGAGTATACTGAGCTTTAGTCAAAGGTGTACTCCAGGTGCTCACCACCAGAGGATTCAACTTGCTATCTAAATGTGCCATTATCCCCACTGCAGGGGCCGAAAGCTGCAAAATCCAATATCCCTGTAAGGGAGAAAATAGTCTTTCCCCAGTTTGGAGAGGTGAGGCACAGAGGGGAGTGACTTGCCTCAGATTTATCAGGGAACCTGGGGCAGTTCGGGGACATAAAACCAGGAAGCAGAAACTGCACAGGGTTCTGCTTCCTCCCACTGACTGCTTCAGCTGTTTTGCAGCTGCTTGTGTTCCTGGAGCAGTGAGAAGAAGCTGCAATAAGGAACCCTAGTGTGCCTGTCCCTCTCTGTTATCTCAGTAGTGGTTGGTCACTGTAGGTTTACCTACCTGCAGGTTTACCTTACTCCTGCAGCCAGCAGGAGTGTGCTAAGTAGTATGTCAGTGAAGGCTCCACAAGTGCCATTTAACAAAACGAAGACATAGTGACCCAAATTCTATGGTTTTCTGTACAGGAAAGAGTCTAAATTCATATTGAGTATTAATACTTAAAGATAAAATCCAGTGTAACATTTGAGTAAAGATTTCACGTTTAACCCAGAGAAATAATATGCTGCATGGGTGGCACTCTGGTGCAAAAAAGGTAGGGGCAGCCTTGGCCAGAAACACCTTCTCAGACACCTAAAACCCGTAATACTGGTGAGCACAAACCCCTGCCCTTGCTCAGAAATAAATCTGAAAGTGGTGTCAGTCAGGTGTGCAGCCAGTTGTCCCTGCCAACTAGTAACTGCTCATCATTCCCAGGGAGTACAGTCATTGGTGGCACCTGAGTTCCGCGAGATGGATGAACTGCTTTGCCATGGGGTCAAGCATGGGACATCATGGCCTGCCCTTCACAGAGTTGACCTCCAGGCACTGTCATATGCCTGCAGTGCATTTGTGGCTAAGGCAGCATATTAAAAATGTGGGCTTCTGGCATGCGTAAGGGAGGCTGGCACCATCAAGGGAAAAGCAAGGACCTAATCCTGTTACGTGAAGAGACAAAGAGCACAGGGGAGAAGCACAGTGCTGCTAACACTGCAAAGTTGTTGTGCCCAACTCTATGGCCAGCACAAGAAATCAAGAAGCAGGGATTGCAGCTGTAGGTTTCCAGATGATGTTGTTTTCTGCATTGCCCTTTAGTATATGATGGTAAAGAGAGAGAGAGCAGTAGAGAGCTTTGACTTCAGTTTAAGTAATTTTGTTGATCCCCTTTCACAGAACATTCTGAGGTCTGTTATATGAATGTAGCTGCTGTTATGGCTATATGGCAGAAGGAGGGTGGAAATACCTCAGGATTTAAACCCATGGCTGAGCTGGCTGGATCTTGGATTTCTGCATCAAATGCTGAGTGTGGGGACAAGGGTTTCCAGCTTCTCCATATGGCCAGTTGAGCAGCAACATTGAATATCACTCAGTAGAGCCTAGGACATGCTGTCCTAGGACTGTGACCAGTCCAGGCAAGCAAGAAATTCTCATATCTCTCAGTATAAAAATTCTCCCATTTGTATTTCACCACCACTTTGTGAAGCATAAAAAGAGCAGCGTAGTGTATTTAGAGATGCTCTGAGAACATACTAAGCATAGAAGTTGTCAAAGTTTACTTTCTCATGTTTTAATACAAGTGTCAGACGGAGTCACAGGAGGAGGCAAAATGACCCTTACTCCCTCGTCCTGCGCCCCAATTGAGTGTGTGTGTGGTATATAGTAAGTTACTTCCAATTCCTTTTAGGTTAGGATTTTAAACAAGAAGATCGATTTTAGCGATATTCAGTCACGGTGTGGTTCCAGAGATAACATCAAACATTCTGCAGGGGGAGGAAATGTAAGTAGTATGGACACTCTCTGAACAGAAATTTCCACTGTGGTGGTCTCAACAGCCAGACCCCTCTGTTTCCCTTCCGCTGAGTACTATTTTCCTTCTCTCTGCTGTTTCACATGTGAGTCTGGTCTGGTAGTCATGTGAGCCTTGGGTATCAGTGGTGGCCTCCTGATCTTTCTCCGCAGAGCACAACACATTTCCAGAACATGGACAGGGAGGGGAAGTCAGAAAATAAGGGTTATCTTCAAATGCCCAAGGGTGCTGACAGTGAAAGTGCAGTGTGAGCCAAAGGTTCAGTGCCTTTCATGGGAGCAGCCCAAGAAAGTAATTTCCATAAAGAGAGTGCAGCTCTCAGTGAGACTCCAGCCTCCATGTTGGGCTTCCTCAGCTAACTCTTCAGTTATGTGCATTCAGCAGAGGGGAAGAAGAAAAATAAGACATAAGGACAAAGAGAGGGGTTGTGACCAGCCAGTGTACTCAGTGCTCACGCCGCAGCATTATTCCAGTGTAACAAACTGAGGTTGCTCGGGGTTTGACCAGACACCCCTTGATTTTAGCAGGCACACTGGAATAGCTTAAGGTGGCTACAACCATCCTGCTGGAAATGATCTCCCCTCAGATGGAAGAGCTGATAGTGTGGGCACATCTGATCCAAACGCATTCAGTACAGCCACCAGTGCTGGCTTAAGTCATTGCCAGTATTGTGAGCAAACCAGTGGTATTGCAGCCATCCTGCAGCTCCTGCTCTGGCCTGGAGGGGCTGCGACTTCTTGAGGCCTGTCAGCACAGTCGCTGTGGCTGTGGGCCGCCTCTGGGAGCTGTCTGGGAGTGCAGCGAGGCAGGGTGTCACTCTGTGGCTGTTCCCAAGCTGGGCTCAGTGCAGCCGTGGCGAGGCAGCCGGCAGCAGTGCATGGAGCACCGGGAGGAGGGAGGGTGCAGGTGCCACTGCCTGGCTGAGCAGAGCAGTGGCACTGCTCTCGGGTGAGCACCGAGCCAGCTGGCTGAACACCAGCCTGCTCAGGTACAGCTGCAGGAGGCACATGTGTACCTTCATCAGGCTCCCCAGAGTGCATTGTCAGGAAATGCATAACGTATATAGCTGCAGAAAAATATGAAACAGATGGTGGAGATAAAAACAGTCACCAAAATATCCTGGTTGCCAGGATGCACGTTCAAGAGCAGAAGCAAATGGGATGGGCCCTGCTGCATGCAGGGCTTTGGAGCACCCACCCTGAGAGGAGTTGGCTCAGAAACATTTTAGAAAGAACTCACAAGCTGATCTGCTTTATCCTCCTCTTTGTTTTGCTAATAGTAGAGCTTAACCCAGCTGTCATCTCCCTAGGTGTGAGGAAAGCTTGCTGTATTAATCCAGGTGTTTCCTCCTTGGTGTTGTGATCTGTTTTCTACTAATCATTTCTCCTTTTCCAGTGGTTTGTAGAGGCTTGGGCTCCTTCTCTGCGGGGCTTGGCTTTTTATTATTTTATTCATTTCTGTAATTTGTGCATTTGTGCACTTTTGACAGGTACAAATTGTAACCAAGAAGATTGACTTGAGTCATGTGACTTCCAAGTGTGGCTCACTCAAGAATATTCACCACAAGCCAGGTATTGTAGGAATTTCTGGGTTGTGGGACAAAGGGAAAGACCTAATCCTGTTATGCAAAGGAGAAGTCATGGATGATACCACTTTCTTTTACAGTCCAAGAAAAAGTAAATACACTTTGGTAATAAAAATACACGTAACTACTTAACTAAATATATAAAGACATAAAGTTATAGAACCAGAGAAGTGTTAAAAAGTAATGCCAAAGGATGCTGCTTTGGCATAATATTGAATACAGACTGACGTCAGCAAAATACTTAAGCATGTACTTAAATCCCATGGAAATCAGTGGGGCTGCAGTACATGCTTACAGTTTGAATGTATGTTGAAGGTTTTATATTTGACTGAACATGGAGAGCGTTATTCTGTGCTTCTCCAAAACCATTAGATCTCAACTAAAAGGGAAGTAACGTGAGTGCACCCACGTGCTTCAAGTCACACTTTCTCCCACACCATTGCAGCCGCTTAATCTGTATTTCCTTTTCCATTATAGGAGGTGGGCGTGTGAAAATTGAGAGTGTGAAACTGGATTTCAAAGAAAAAGCTCAGGCTAAAGTTGGTTCTCTGGAAAATGCCCACCACGTACCTGGTGGTGGTAACGTCAAGGTAAGGGAACAGCCATCAGAGAAAACGCCTCCACTGTGCCCCTGGCCTGGTAAAATCAGAGCTGTGAATTCAGCCATGGCTCTGAATCAAGTAGGAAGCATCTGTCTGTCCTCCTTCAAGCACATTCACATGCCAGTTTGTTCCCTTTGAAATTTGGAATGAACAATCTCACATCCACATCTAAGCTGACAGTGAGTCTAAAGTCCTATGGTTTGTGCACTGGCTTTCCCCCTAAAGATAGTCCTTGCTTGGGACCGTTGGACAGCATAGGTATGATCTGAGATTGGGACTGCTTTGTGAAATAGGAGGAAAATATCTTGAAAGTAAGATCACTCCCACAAACATTGGAAAATACAAATTTTGGAAACAAATCATAGTTTTGTTTTCAAAAGAAATGTTTTTCATAAACATATAATGTTAATGAAATTCACAGCTAGGGACAGTGGTACTGCTCATTAAAGTGTCCATCAGAGACAGAAATGGTAAGAGAGTGTAATAGTAAGTCAGTATCTGTTAAACAAGGTGAAAAAACGATCAGTTGGAATTATTCAAAGGAGTAATCCTTCAAATAACTCAAAGCTTCAATCCTTCTAAGAGTTTTTAAAAGTAAACAAAATGATGCCCAAGTGATGATCTATAACAAGATAATTTGGTGAATATATAATGTGTGACATTCTTTACTTTCCTGGAGCAGATTGACAGCCAGAAGCTAAACTTCAGAGAGCACGCTAAAGCCCGTGTCGACCATGGGGCTGAGATTATCACACAGTCACCAGGCAGGTCCAGCGTGGCTTCTCCACGTAGACTCAGCAACGTCTCATCCTCTGGAAGCATCAACCTGCTTGAGTCACCCCAGCTTGCTACCCTCGCTGAAGATGTCACAGCAGCCCTTGCCAAGCAGGGCTTATGAATTTGCTCATTTCGCATTGTATGAAGTAATAATATTTAGGCATGAGCTCTTGGCAGGAATGGGCTCAGAGCAGGTGTTACATTCATTCTTTACCATGTCTAAAGCTAAGTCACATCCCAAGACTTGTAGTTACCATACAGTTAAAAAAAAAAAAAAAAACAGAAAAAAAATATTTCCATAGATGCAGAAATTGGCCTGACCTCCATTTACAACAGGAAGACACTGGCTTTATATGGGTATACAAAAGCAGTATGTTACATTGGACAATTATTGTTGCTCTGCTCTGTCTTGCATGGAGTACTGTACTATGATAAAATGCATTTTTACCTTTCATGTGCCTGAAGGCCATCCACCTCTATCTGAAGAGCCTTGTTGATATCCCAAGTTGCTCATTTCACAGTTCTGTTGATAGATGGGGAAATAAAAAAGTTGCCCATTTTAAGTTATTAAGGGTTAAATTAAGAGTCTGCTTACCAGAAGGAAGGACATATAGAGAAATTCAAGTTTAATTTAAAAAAATGTGTTATTTTGTATAAATGAGTAGAACAGAAGTTGAATTAAGTTATTAACATTTTCTTGGACCTGGTTAATTATGTCAGTGTATAGCTGAAAAGCCAATAAATTATTTAACTAATAACTAAAAATAGTAGCTGAAAACATTTAAATTGTGCTTTGGGGAAGTGACGTAAAAAACCTGCTGAAAGCAAGCACTTCCACCCCAACAGACTTGTGTCTGATTAGAAAAGTTGGTTAAGCGGCTAGATTTGTGTGCACACCACTGGTTTCACATTCTTTCCGTCTGTTTGATACAGTATTATAGATATATATATTTCTCTGTGGCCATTTGTGATATGCCCTCCTCATATACTTGAATATTCTACTTCTTTATTCACAGTATCTGTGTCTCTTGCACCCTTTGGTGTTGCAATTTTAGGTATGTAAAAGTAGATGTTAGCAGGGTTTTTTTTTCCCTATTCATAAGAATACATTTAAAAAAGATGAAAATTTTAGCATGAAGTTGCTTTCTGTAACAACTAAAAGCTGTGACCCTGTTTTAGTGCCAGATGCAAGTCTCTTCTGTGATGCTAGAAAAAGGATTCCTTCCCTCTCCCCTTCCCTTCCTTTCTTCACAAAGGAATGATTTTTGTGGGTTCCGGACATTTATAAAAGAGTCTCCAAAGATGGCTGAGTTTGGACTCTGGCTTTTTTAAAAATCCACAATAGTTTGGTTCAAGCTTTTTTTTTTATTTCTTTCTTTCCTTTTTTTTTTAAACTCCCATAATAACGGTGAATGTTAGATTTATGGGTTTTTTTCTTTTGCTAAAGTTGAAACACAGAAAAAAAGATGTTGTTTCCACTCCTTTAGTGATGTCTCACATGACTACTCTGGCACTCAGACAACAGTGATAAACATAGCAGAGGTGCCTGTAAATTACAGCGTATGAGTAAATAAAAATGAGCTCCCTAGACTGGGTTGCCATCACAATTCATCAATAAATAGGGCTTCTTAAAATCTAAGCAAAGTGAGATTGTGTTGGCTATAAAAAAGTGTAAGAAAAAGTGTGCCTAAAAGATATAAAAGGCAGAGATAATGTAGCCAAGCGATCTAGAGGAGTTACCTGAGAGAACTCCAGCACTAAGGGAACACTGAAGGTGACACGGAGGTGATCCTCATCAGCAGATAATCACCTGCTGATGCTCTGTGTACACTAGATATTATGAAATGACCAGTTCACATTATTGCAGATTGTTTGAACTTTTTCTTTTGAAACCTCTTAACTGAACTTTGCACTGTCAGTTGAGCTATACTTGATACATGTATTAGGTTAATGTTGTGTGTTGGAAGCTTTTGATCTATTCTTTTTCCTTCTTAATTTGTATGTATGCGTGTGTGTGTTGGGGTTTGGTCTGAAAAGACTCATAGGGAAGATTTTTATGTCTGTGGAAAAGGATTCTAATAATTAATAACACAGGATTCCCCATCATTAAATTCCAGTAGTAATACACAGTTACTGGACAGTAAATATTCAGTGGACCAAAAGGGGATTTTGGCTAAGCTGCCACAGCAGTACAAATACAAAACAGAGTGGTTGCATCTCTCAAACTTCTGCTGAATATGAACTTCTGACAGCCCCACACATGGCATTTCAGCTCTGCAAAAAGCTTTTTCACACCAATACTGTTTGTAAGTACCTAATACTGTTTGTCAGTTGTTTCATATGAAGGACAGTGAGTTTAGAACCATGCAAAGTGCAACTGGAGGATTCTGATTTCTGCCTTGTATTTGTTATACTTTTGCTTAAACTAATCATAATAATTCACATGGAAACAGTGTCAAGTTAAGGTGCATTAAAAGCCTCTTCCCATTTTTTCAGAAAATAACAGAAAGGAAACCCAACAATATTTATATTGCTCTGATCATACTATCAATATGAATTGGTCTTGCAGTGTTTTTTTTCTATGCCTTTTGCCAGCGTGGGAGAGAAACTATGGTACTACTGAATCCTCTGCTCTCTGAAGCTGAGCACCAGCTCATGAGAACAGTGATAGCCCGAGACTCCAGTTTTTTTATTCTGCTTTTAAAATCAACATACTCTAGAAAATTAAGCTTAGTTAAACCACCTATGAGTCCAAAGTTAGAGTGGTATAACACACTGAGTCATTTATTTCATGCATTAAAATGAGCTTTCTTGTCTTGATTTAAGCAAAGACCTTTGTAATCATCATCATTCTTCCATAGAAAGAATCCTAGAATGCTGTGGATTTAGATGAAAAGAAATCAAGAGTTTTGTGCTGTTAAATGATAAAAAACCAAGTGATGTTACATAACTCTAGATGTTCACTGGAAAAGCTCATATTAATCTTAACTTTCTCAAGAAGAGTGTTCGTTTTAAAAACAACAGTTTGTAAATAATGTAATGCCCACTAAAGAAGATAGAGCCAGCTTCCTGGAAACTGCATCTGTTGTTTCTTTTCCACAGGCATGTTGAGCCAGCAGGTTTGTTGGGCGCCTGAGACCCAACTCTGTAACAAAGCAGAAATAATCCAGACAGAAGGAATGGTGAAACCTTGTTTTGGTAGCTAGGGGAGCACCCCAAATTTAATAATGCGTCAAGTTGTAGCAACAAAAGGCAGAGTGCTTCTTCCTCATTTGGAGAGTTCTATGTAACCACAAGCTGAAAGAATTAAAAGTTGAGCAAACATCTGTCCAGCAACAGTAAAGGAAAAACTAATCCTGATGAGGGAAATTGTGAGCCCACAAGGGCAATGTGTACTTTCACTGTACAGCAGTAAATGGAATTATCCATTCAGTGCTCTGCTAAAGTACAGTGGTAACCTAATCGTGGCTGCTCACACATCTAAGTTTGCCTAAATACATGACCCAAAGGGAGTCTAAAGGCAGCCTGTGTGGACTACCATATGTGAGCACTTTTTTCCATGCTGGATCAAATACTGTTTGAAACCCAAGTACACATGACCCTTCAAAGGCAAATGCCTTGAAGAGTAGATCACATTTGCTATGAAAATTGATGCTGGTAGGTTTTTAGCCTAGGTGTCTGTCGACTAACTCAATAGTCAGATTGCTAAAGCAACTCCCTCTGCAACTCTAGCAATTCCCACTGCAGGAAGGTAAATTAGTTTCACACTTGGAAAAGTCGAGCGTATAAAAACCACTTCAACTTTAGCAAAGAGAAAAAGCCAACCGATATGCTGTATGCTGGGATGTCAAGGAATATCATCTGCTGTTACAAACCTGTGTTTTTTCTGATAACTCTAGAGCCTGTTACCATAAAAGAGGCATTTCTTGAATGGCTGGTGGTAGGTAGTTCATGTTTTTCAATCCAATTTGCAATTGTATTTGTTGCTGTATAGTGATTGTTTTGCAAAATAAAATCGCTTGTCATCTAATTGCATATGTGGGTTTCCTCTGTTTGTGATACAGCTCCTCCGGCATCCAGCTGTGCCCTGGGGAGAGGGGTACCATGCACCTGCTGGTACTGCAGTCAGTCTGGCCAGGGGCAGGCACAGCAGATCCAGTTGTATTTCTCAGCTAATCCCTGTTACTTTTAGCCGGAAGAATCAGTTTTTATGGCTGGCGTCCTGTTCCGCAGGGCAGTATCTCCCTGCTATGTGCATGTTCCTTCATGGAAAGAGTAATTGTACATTGGAATGGGCTGCCCAGGGAGGTGGTGGAGTAACTGTTCCCGGAGGTGTTTAAGGAAAGACTGGATGTGGCACTGAGTGACATGGTCTGGATGACATGGTTACCTTGGACTCGATGATCTCACAGGTCCTTTCCAACCAAACTGATTCAGTGAGTACATATCCCTCACGCTGGGGTCCTGGCCGGGGGTGAGGCGTGGCATCACCCTGCACTGAGCAGTGGAGCTCTCCAGGCATGGAGGGCACACGAGGGAGGAGGTCCCATTCCCAGTGCACGGCGTGCCCTCAGCTCCGAGGGGAGTGTGCCACACACTCCAGCCCCGCGGTGAGCCCCGCTGTGAGGGCCCTCAGCGCCCAGCCCTGTGACACAGCCCCAACTCTCAAGGGAAATGGCCGCCCCGGGCTGTACATAGGGCGGGGCCCTGCCTGTTCCCCCCCATCCCCTCATGAGGCCCGGGCAGGCGGATGGGCGGGGTCGGGGTTAGATTCCTGCAGCTGGCAGCTGCCTGAGGGCCATGAGAGCCTGTGGACCGAAGGTAATGGGAGTTGTGAGGGGGAATGAGCTCTTGAGGCCATGCGGAAAAATAATGGGGAAACGGCGTGGAGTTGGAGGGATGCTTGGAGCAGTTTTCTGTCTGGATGCCTGGTGGATACTCACTCAGCCCCAGCCGAGCTCGGGTCAGAAAGTCAACGGCTCTGAGCTGCGGGTGGAAGGGAGAAATCATGGAGTGATTTGAGAGAGACCTTAAAGCTCATCTTGTTCCAGCCCCTGCCATGGGCAGGGACACCTTCCACTAGATAAGGTTGCTCCGAGCCCCGTCCAGCCTGGTCTTGAACACTTCCAGGGATGGGACATCCACATATTCTTTGGGCTACATACTTCTCTGACAGCACTGCTATATGCAACATAATACTGAGAGTACTGCTATAGTGCTACTGAGAATACTGCTATATAAAACATGCTGCTGTATAAAACACACTGAGAGTAATGCTATAGTACTACTGAGTATCTTATTAGCAGTGTGTAGTAGGTGATGTATTTTATCATTTGATAGCAGATTGTGATGCTGGAGCATTGAGGTGAGTACCATTTGTGAATAAAATCTTGAATAACTACTTGTTATTGAATGTGAGGGAGGCTTCAATATTTGCTAGATGTACAGAGCATCTGTCCATCCTGTGCCTGTCACAGCTCAAGGGGTATTCCTTGCATTGTATAGGAACAGAGACATGGATCAGATCAGACGGGCAGGCAGAAGGCCTTCCACCTAGAGATATGTGGCTGTGCAGAAGTCTCAGTTGCTGGGAGTAAAAGACTGTGTGGCCCTGGTGGAGGGGCTCCCAAACCTGGTTTGTGTGAGTGCCCTTACTCTGGAAGGAGAAGCATATGGTGTAGGCAGTGCTCAGCTCTCTCTGGGCAACAGAAAGGAAGACACGTTTGATAACTCAGTGGAACAAGAGATCTACACCTTCTTCTCAGAAAGAAGGTGGAAAATGGTTTTTTGGGCAGGGTGAGGTTTGAGGGGAGGGTTTGTTGGATTTTTTCCCCCAGAGGAAGTAAAAGTTTTGCAGCTGCTACCAAAGCAGTCACATCCCAGAGCTTAAAGAGACCTGAGCCAAGGGATGATGTGATACCTTGACAGTATCTTTTTCCTTCCCCAGTCTTGTCCAGCAGTCGACTGCACCCTACACCATTTCGTTCACTCCCACCCTATCTTATTTAGTTTAAGGATAACCTGTGCCTGCTATGTATTTCATTGCACTTACATGGCTCTGTAAATATGATATGCTGCTTGAACATTATGCAAAGGCAATAACTTTCTTTGTGGTGACTGGTCTGCGTTTCTTTTCTGTTTTGAAATTGGATTCTCAGATGCATGAGTGCTGTGCCACTCTGCTGGTTCCACCTAAATGTGGCCCAAGGATTAAATATCTGACTGTCTTTATGGAATCTGATCTAGATAAACTATGGTCTGCCTCTGCCTAAATTCATGCAGCAACAGCAGCAAACCTGGTAGTTTTAGGAGTCATTCATCCTTGTTTCTGAACACATAGTTGTGCTGGTTTTGAGCAAGGCTGGCAAGAAAAGCTGTGAATGAGGCTTTTGAAGAACCTTGGTTGAAATGTTTTCATGCTGAGTTTAAAAGCCCTTAAAGAAAACAGTTTTCCTAGGCTTCTGCCTGACAGACCCATAGGAGAAAGGGTTTGACAAGAACAAGATGAATGTGCCTTTACAAACAAGCTGTGTGCATCTGCTTGCAGATGCAAGGCAGTGCCTATTTGTGAGTAAAGAAATGGTTGTTGGTGGGAAAGGAAATAATTGTTCATAGACAAGAAAGTGGCTATTTTTAGATAAAGAAGTAGCTGCCTGTAGGTAAGAAAGTGGCTGAAAGAATCAATTAACTTGTAGAATAGTGAGAAAGGAAATAGCTCCTTAAGAATAGTAAGAAAAGAACTGACTCTTTATATGTAATAGGCGTTTTCAGGAAGTCTGTGCCTTCCAAGTACTTTAGCCAGTGAGGAAAGGAAGAGGTCATTATAGAGCTAGGAAAAATTAGGATAAAAAGGAGGCTACCTCCTCCAGTTATTCAAGAGATTTTCAGTAGGTATGCTCAGTAAGCTCTCCCTTTATTCATGAATAAAGTCACTCTGGCAGAACTCTGTCTCCTTTGTGGACACTAAACCCTGGTGACAAGAATTTTCCATACAGGTAAAATGAGCGGCATCTGTCAGTGCTGACCTTCTGTGACTGGTTGTTCCAAGAGAGAAAGGGTCTTCCTTCATAATGGGTCTGTTCAGCTAGGACAGAAGCCTGCTGGCAGCTTATGGAAGACTAAGTTCCTGGCAGTGTGCCTAACAGTTGTCTTTACTGGGATCTACAGTTAGGAGCTGTTTGCAGCTTTGCTCTTGGAAAGGCTGCTGCACAACAGAATGACTTCAGATACTTCTGGATTCTGCACAGAGAATAACAGATGAATAAGGTGTGAATACTTAGAAGTGTGTGTGGCAGGGATTGAGGCTGAGAAATTGGAGAGCATATGCCTGGAAACAAGTGCAAGGCAGTGAGGTTTGAGCAGTTCTCTGCTCTGGGTACCCTTGTGTAGAGTGGGGGCTTCGTGTTCAAGTTCTGCTCAGTGTCCCCACTCTTTGACACGCTGCCAGCCTTGACTGTTTCCAGATCAAGACTGAGTCCTACTGTGATGGATGTATAAACACAACTGTCTGGTGAATAAATCGGTGATCAAGCAGAATCATGTGATTTGGGGAGATGTCAGACTGATGCTGTCTGTAGTAAGAGAGGAAATGGGATGAGAGTGTCATGGACATCTTTTGTGCCTGAGCAGTTGGGTGGGCTGGAGCAGTGCAGAGCAGTCTCCACTTTCCCCACGCCTGCTTCCCGAAAGCAGTGACTTCTTGCATTAGTCTTGATCTTTTTGCAGGCAGACAGACCTATGTTTCTGTGCCAGCCCAAGATGCCAGTGTAGCACAGGTGAATTTTCAGGACACCTTGCTGTTTTCCTACTATAATGACATCCCTGAAGAGTTTGCTTGCTTCCTCTTTATCCCTACTGCAAGGGAAAGCAGGGACTGATTTGGAGAACTTTCTCTTTGCAGCATCCACTGCAATGTAAGTATTTAGGTACAGTCAAATGCTGACTGCAAATCCAAAAGCCTCTGCTGCCAGCAGAAGTTCAATATAGAGATAAATAGAATCTTCCAGATTTTGTCTGCCCTTTTTGTGTGTGTGGCAGGGGTTGTCTCCAAAACAAGGCCAGAACAAAACTGGTCTCTAGCTGCTGCTAAATTTAATATAAACCACCTTTGCCACCTCCTGGGTTTAGTGATGGTTGTGGCCTGGCTGGATTGGAGAATCTGCACCACTGTGCCTGCAGTTTTCTTGTGACAGTGCTAGCTGTTAATAATATTACCTTTGCTCTCTGATTTGTTTTGCATTGGAAATTCTGTAACTTCAAATCACTGTACAAACAGAGAGATTTACATGTCTTTTATGACTGCATGTTGTTAGAGAGCAATACTCTGCACTCAAAATGGCAAGCTTGACTAGAACTGCAATTTGCCATTATGTTTTTGGTTACTACAAAGTATTTGAAAACAAAAATACATAGTAATTTAGCATAGTAGCGATGCAGCTTCCTCTCATTGCCTGTTGGGCTACCTGAGCTCCACTCACTAACGCCCTGTGACAGGGCAAGGTGCTGGCTGTGCACAAAGAAGGAGTAAGGAAAATAATCCTGTACTTCAAGGCCATTTGTTTCCCCCAAAGAGTCCTTCAGGGATGTAACAGAAAGCCAGGTAGAGGTATTGGTATATTGTCCTTCTGCTTTCTGAGTGACAGTTAACACTGACAGTTGTGAAGCGAGCGTGCAGTTGCCTTGTTTGTTCTCTTCTCCTACTCCTCTTCAGAGTGTAGAGAGGCCACTTGGGTTCCCCTTTGGAGGCTCAGTGAAGTGCTGCTAGTGAGCTTCTCTGCCCTCTAGAACTGCCTCTGTTCAGGGCAACAATGATGTTTACCTGCATAAGTTTGAAACCAGTGAAAGCTGTTGTTTTCCAAATAAATTTGGTTTGGTTGGTTTGTGGAGCTTTGTATTCACACTTGCATTCCTATCTGTTTACCGCTGAGCAGCTGCTGACCACACTAAGAGCCACTGGTGTTCCTGTAAATCAGGAGAATTCACAGGAGATTTCAGCTGTACTCTGGAGCAAGCTGCAGTGCTCTCTTTTAC